AAAAGAAGGAAGGGAGTGAGGAGAAAGAGACATGGATACCAAGAAGGAGAACCTATGAGTTGATGAAGTGTGAAAGGGACAGAGAGAGGAGAAAATATGAAATTTATGGAGCTCAAGTACACACTTACGCAACATTCCACGGTTCTGGACCAAGAACCCTTAGAAATGTAAGAGGGTTCATTGTTCCAGCTCCAACCTGTTCAATATTGTCAGAACATCTATAAGTTAAACAATCTATCAGAAAAATTTTGAACGAGTTGAATGCACACACAACAAAACTAGACAAGAGTTGGGAGAAAGGATCCACGAAACCATTTTTTGAACACTGTCCCTTTAATCATCAAATACAATAAGCATATCATTGCTTTAAATACTCACTAAAGTCACTATATATTAAAAAAGAAAATCATCACGGGCATCTTAGATAAGAAAAAAAGCTACCTAAAAGCATTACTATCATCAAGCAAGTTCATCAAAGACTAACATGCAAGGCACAAAGGAATTCTCATAGTTTCATTCTGATAAATGGGATTGGGTAGAACTCATCCCCCACAAAGGAATTCTCATAAATTCATAGTAATAAATGGGTTTGGGTAGAACTCATCCCCAAAAGCTAGCTAAAAGGGAGAGGGTGCTCAACCCACACTTATTAACAATACAGCTCAGCAACTAAATGATGGGGAATAAACATAACTTCTAACACTCACCCTCACATGCAGAGAGACAAAAACTAAGTGGGTCGGGTCCAAACTCAGCATTGCCTCCAAACAAACAGAACTCGATGCTCTGATACAATGATAAATGGGCTAGGGTAAAACTCATCTCACAAATCTAGCTCAAAGAGTGAGGGTGTCGAACCCACACTATGCTCAATAACACTCAATAACAGCCTAATAAATAATAGATGTGGAACAAACATAACTTCTACCACATTCATTGATTAAAACTTATATTACGAACCAAAAATTATTTTTCTAACTGTTCGGAGAACATTAAAAACTAAATTACCTCAGTGTTGCTGCATTGCATCACAGCACACCCTACTGAAGCCCAATATTCCTGCAGAATATAAAACTCAATATCTCTAAACACAAACTAAAAACAACATTTCATGGGCAATTGCGTTCAAATTTCATAAAAATAGCACTGTCTTGAACTAGAGAAACTAAAAATATGAAAATAATTCGAGAAACGGGGATTGTACAAATGTTGCAATTAGTGCGTGGTTGGTAAGCACAATAAGCCGGCTTATAGTTGATGTGGAGAGTTTATAATCTCCTTTTGCTCAAATAAGCCCCGTCTGAAAAGTCGCCTTTATCTCGTATGCTTCCAAGCTCAGCGTTTCTACCTCTTCTTTTAACCATTTTATTTCTCTATACACTTACATGATCATGCCATGAGGTACTGAACTGAAATTTTTCCTATAATTCCATTATTCCTTATCATTCTAAGATATCCTCATGCAATTTTCTCTTCATGAGAATGAGATTAAACTGTTATTACTTATAAGGTATTTTGTGATGTAGGAAAACTATGATTTGGTCACTTTCAAACCATCACTTAAAATGATGGTGATGATGAAGATTATATCACTAATAAGTAGTATGTAAGTAATAAAAACAACAATAAATATATATTAGTTTTCGTGCAATTTCATATTCCTGGGTTAGATTGTCGGCTAAAATTTGCTAAATGCTTATTGCTTTGGCTTCTATCAGTCTCTATCAGCCTTATCTACCAGCAACTCTCATTTGTCAGCTTTGTCTCAGCTACAACAGAGAAAAATGCCAGGTGCTGAATAATTTTCACTTAGTTTCAGAGATACACTTCGATCGATGCCATCATTATGTTTCCACTCACTATATTACACCTCAAGGTACTTGAATCAATCCATCCTATCGTGAAAAACCATTAAGTCTGTCTAAGTATTACCAGTAATTTCTACAAGCAATCCGTAAGCTGGGGCATAGCCAAAAAGCAAAATCCACACACACTATAGCCAATCACAATTAAGCATGCGCAGTATTTTCACCAAGCTCACCTGGAGTCTTTGAATGGCTTGTTGGAAAGTGAGGACCGAGGACGAAGACGATCTCACGCAGTCCTGCTCCACGGCCGTCGAAGCAAGCGAAGTTATGCTCCCGGGGGTGGTGGAGAAGTGCCTTCTCCGGAAAAAGAGGGACAAATTAACCCTCCGGCCAGTGAGGCATAGCCGAGCCTTGTCGGGCGTCGTTTTGAAAATGGATGTTACCAGTGGCAGTGAAAGTATTGCCATGGCTCGTTTCTGAGCGCGAGTGGATGAGGAATGGAGAGGTTCAGAGGTTTTTATCAAAGCAGTTAGCTATACAAAAAATAA